TTCCTGATTGGTCCGCTTATGTTGAGCTGTTAGCCGGACATTTTTTATTTTATTTTGACACATCAATCGGGAAAGAAATGCGGTATAACCGCTGCCTACAGAATACTTGTCTTTTGTAGTAAACTGACGGGGTGCTGTGTGTACATACATTTAGGTATATTATTTTTCCTTTTTTTAATTTCTTGGAAAATGATTGAAATGAATATCATGATATTACCTATGCATTAATTTTATGAATAAAATATTTTAAAGATAAGAATAAACGAACGATAAATAATGGGATTTTAAAATTAAAAAGTTGAGAGCATCAGAATGTTTTTATACATAGTCTGTCTCTTTGAAATCCCTTTAATTTAGTGATTATTTTAAGCTTGAACATTGGTACAATTTCAATTGTTATCTTACGAATTTCGGTACAATATCCTAAAAGTAACTTTAAAACAGATCTGAAATAAATTGAAATTCCACCCAAGTAACTATAAGTTCATAATTAATTAATTAGAACAATATTACCTCCAGGCGAATTCGAGAATTGGTTTATATTGGAGTTATTAAGCGTCATTTATTAGGATTACGCTAAATTTTCGATGGCCTAACTTAAGCTAAATATTAAATAAAAAGGTTGTTTTTATACTCTGGTATCATAGTGGGAAATAAAGGCCATTCTTTTTACTTTTAAATTAATGTCAAAGTCATATTATATTGTAAAGTAACTAATAAAAAAAACTTTTGATGGATAAATTTGGATTAAATAGCTTGAGTTGATAACATTGCTATCAAATCGATAATGATCATGCTTTATTACTGGTTCGTTGTTAATAAAGACCACGTGAAAGTAATAAAATAAAATGAAATAACGCCATAACAAATCTAAGATATTGTATCCTGTAGCTAGAGCCATGACTAGAGAGCCGGTCGCAACCCTGCGTTTTTTTCCAACCGGGGCAGAAAGTACGCCCTTATATGTTTTCGTACAACATTGAATATTTTATGAAAGTGTCGACTTTTTTATGCAAAATTCCTCGGAGAATAACCAAAACATAAACAAAAACGAACAAGAAAAATATAAAGGACGCACTTCCGAGAAGTTGTGGCAAAATTTAACGGGTAGTCTATAAAATATTAACTTATTTCCTTTTGTGAGAACACGTTTCAAAAGTGAAATAATTAAGTAGGTACACCAAAGTAATACTTAATCAGCTCTCCGCAAGGGGCTTTAACCGTACTTAACCCTTATTTAACCGTTAATATTATTTTTAGCGATTTATAGAATTAAATAGCTTTTAGAACTGATGACGATTTGAATGAAATTAAATACTACAGGCAATTCGTTACTCTTTATTATTTTTTTACGATTAAAATAGTTTAATTATACAAAAATCATATAGAATGTTAAATCATTCCATACCTTCAGCAAAATTAATTTTCATTCAAAAAATAAATAATAATAACATAGTAACAGTGTAAGTTGGTTAAGTTAGTTTATATTAATACGAGCTTTCAGCCATCGGCTACGCTCGCGTGGTTTTTCCATTTTTACAACATATTTCATAGCTACTCTACTCTTATTAGTTATAGCGTCGTAGGATTGGGGATAAAAAATGATAGAACATTTTTGTTGCAAATAATTTCATTAACTATTTTGATTTTAACCAGTAGTTCACGAGATTTGCACATTCAACCTAGCAAACAAACTCTTCAGTTAAATAATTAATGTAGATAATATAATAAATATTGTATATGTGTGTATGAGTAACCTACATCCATTACGCGCTATTTTTTCTGTCAGTTCAACAGCTGCCAGGAAAGTTTGTTTAACTTTGTAATACAATTTAAGTTTGGGTGATATTGGTTCCAATTCTGCTAAACCATTTTCTAAACTAAACTAAGTAATAATTTCAAATTAAATTTTTAATGGGTTCTTTTCATGAAGATTGGAAGCAATGATTCTTAAAAAAATATTTTAATTCGGAGACCTTGATGCTCGAATACGACTTATTCCAACATTATTCTGATTTTTTACTCGACTGCGCGACGCAAAGTAGGGTAATGCGTTTATCAGTCTATGTATGTTTGTTTCTATGTGGCGTTCTAGAGACCAAATGCGTAGGCCGATTTTGATGATTCTTACGTCAATCGATTCGTCTTAACCTTGCGAGTGTCACTAAAGACATGACAGTAATCAAAATTCACCATAGCGACAACCAGACACCATATTGTCAAAATGAAAAAAAAAAAAATCGATGAACTATATCAAGTGGGGTGTCGTTGAATAAGTATTTTAAAATCATCTTTACGTTTCATTTATTATTTTTCATAATATTTTAGGATATATAACGATTTAAAGGTGGTTATCAAAACAATCATTTTCGCTAATTTTCTTACTTATTGATTTAAGTTTTTTTTTAAAGTATAAACGATATACAAACAAAAAAACAGTGAAAAGAGCATGAAAAATAAATATTTTTGGTAAAATAATTAAGCATATGTAACTTTTAAGCCGAGTAAGGTCTCTAGAGGGACTAATCATCAGTAGTTTAGACCACCGCAAGTGACTTTATAATCCACACGATATTACCTCCCTTAATTAAATGACTAGATTCCGAAATTTACCAACTTATAACGAAGTCAACGAATCATAACTAATAAGTATAAAATAAAAATAATTAATTAAAAGAAAAACAAAAAGCCCGTCTGCGTAAAAATGAATTTTAAAAAATACATGAAATAATTAACTTAAAAGTAATTTCCCCTTGGTAAGATTTGATTGGTAAAATGTGAATGGGCTCTGACTATGAGTCGTTCTGCTCTGTATGAATTCTAAACTACTGGACTTGTTTAATTATTTTTATTTTTACTTTTAACTTAATTTTTTTATCTCCGTGATATTTTACTGTAGGCTTTATTAAACTGTTATTAGTAAGTGAGGCAAAAACTATGGATTCTATTTTTTACGAAAAATGTGAAAACGGAGTGTAATCTTATTATTAATGTTGTTATACTTATTACTTTGATTAGAGAAATACTTGTAAAATGACGATGACTGTAATTAATAAGCGTAGTATTGACTTGATAATGTAATTGTACGAAATATTACAGGGTATTAAAACACGTAATTTCCATGATCGCACATATTCATGTATTTGTATTCGTAAACAGTACAGCCCTGCGATTCTGTAAAAATCCAGACCCGAATTCGAATTCACTAATGTGTCCAAATTCACGTCATTTAGTGTAAAAATTCTATTGATTCCATATTTTTTTTGTATAAAAATACAAAACAAAATTGATCGGATGCACGTGTCTCAGATATTCTATTCCTAAATCATTTCGAAACTCACTTCACTTATGCTACGAAACGTTATTACCAATTCAAGGTTGAGCGTATGTCTCTTTTTGAAGTCAATTCGGACACCTGAGTATTCGAATTCGGGTTTGGAGTTTTACAGAATCGCAGGGCAGATTATTATTACTTACTGTATTTTATTAATATTGTTACAAATAAAGGATTAATATTGATCACTGCGTATTAAAAGTATGATATTGATTTAAGTATACAATGTAACAAAAGGGTACTAATTATAAAATGTACTTCTAATGTCGTTTAACTATATGTTTATGTATTTCACAATGGTAATTATGATTAAACAAGCTCAATTTAATAATTTACAAACCTAAATGTAAGAAACTCAAAAATTAGAACATTGATTGTATTGAAAACGACATCTTGCGAAAAAACTATGACAGTATTGTTTTTTTATTGTTGGCAATAGAATAAAAGATGGCAGAAATGTAACGCCAATGAACGGCGAGTCAGTGTGAAATAAAGTATTTTTCAAGTAATATTGGTTTAAATCAATGCATCGTCCCAACTTCTGATGTCGGCCAATAGGAGAAGTATAAATGGGAATAGGTAAAGTTTATTCGCCTATATTAATGTCCATATTTGATACCATAGGGAAGGCTTATACACCAGCAGTATTACTTAATATGCTTATCAGGATGATGAAAGTTTATATGGAGAATTTTTAAAATAATTTAACTAATAAAGAAAAATATTAATAATATTCAAACTTTATTGTAAAATTTTGACAACAATGGCCACAACCACTAATCATAGATATATAAATGTAAGTATATGGTTTTGAAAGGAATTATAAGATCGAGTTCTTGGTAATGTGATAATATTACCTGACTATATATACTATCTGACCTCACGAATACGAATATTATTGATAAGTTATTCGAAACAAGATATGTTGATATGCTATAGTTAATAATTATTATGTCCATTTCACAAATTTCCATCCGTGCCAAGTTGGAGCCAGGAATAAATAGCTTAACTGTAAACAATCTGCCATAATTTTTATAATTACATATGGTACGTGTTTTTTAATGATAGTTTGGAACAACGACGAATATTCTATTTCGTTAACGCACTGATAGTGGCTGACAAATTATTACATTCTTGGTATTAGCTTTCTTTTAAAGATAAACATATTTCCTGTACGACACCCACAGGCCAGGAAGAGCATCTGTTACGACAGCTGTAACATTTAAGTAATGCTTTCACGTAAATCTATCGTCGTCTTAGTAAAAAAGAGGGGACGATTGTTCAACTATGTTTACTGCTACCACGTTTTACTACTGCGGCGCGCAATTAGGTTGATGGGCAGATAGACAACAAATTACTCAATTTGATATCGCCCGTCGTGAGGTCAACACCCCCTAACGTACACCTTCGACGAAGTTGCAAGCTGTAAGTAACTATGGCGTGCCAGCTGCGTAACCAGCCTTGGACGGAAGAATATAAGTATTATAAATTAGTGACAATGGCTCGAGTTATTTCGTAGAAGTGCCAAGGTTGGCGGTTCTGGGAAGTGGCGGCCGCGCGCCATGAGGTTGGAACGGAACGGCGCGGCGTGCTCTCGGTCGCACATGCCCCCGCACCGCGCCGCGCTGCCCTGTTTACTTCGCGTCGCCCGCCTCGCATTCCGAATCCTCAGTCTACTTTTATATTTGAAAGAGGAGAGTTAACGCCGTGGCGCCACGCCTCGCCGAACTTTCACCTCCGACGCGATATCGTTATCTGTGATAAACCCATCAACATTGAGTGAAATTGAATGTGCGCGTTCTTAGAAAGCATTTCTGTCACATTACGCGGACGGTCGTCCGTCGTCGACGTAGATTTCTGCAAATTAATTTCTCCAGTGCAGTCGGTTTCTACGAAACTGTTTATAAAGAGTTTAACGAGAAACGAAACGGCCGTAAAGTGGATTTGAAGAAATATAATTACAAGTGGGATTGTGTGTTTCCGTGTTCGGTTGTAGACAAGGCGTTTACATTGGATCCCAATCACCCAATCACACCTTCAATGGTGGTTAAACTACCAGGTAAGTGTTGCTTCTGGAAGTTAACAAATTATTTGAGGAAATCAAAGAAAACAAGAATGAAGTTTGATAACGTTTGATGAGAACGTTTGATAAAATAAGCGTATATTTTTCTATATGCATATGTGAAGTAAACAAATTGTCTTGTTTACAACTGCGGAAATGTCGCTAAACCAACAAGTGGCACCTATATTTCGTAGGTCAACGAGGTTTACATCGTTGGGTCCAAGTATTGACACTAAAGATAAGAAACCAGCATACATAACGTCATCGAGAATTTAACTTCTTTGCATAAATTATTCTGACGTAAGCCAAACGTATTTGCAATTTTGTTATATAACGGATATGATGATGTCATCTAGATACTCGAAAATTACTATTCAATTGTTTCTTAGTTTACTCACGATCAATTTAAAAAAATACTGAACAGCACTTTAGAAATCAAATCGCATCATAAATGAGTATTGAATCCGATTCTTTTCTTATTAAAAAATATAATTAGCTTTAAGTATATCTGGCATATTTAATAAAAAAATATATTGCAGTGTTTATCCATAGACGTATTAAAGGGATAATATTTTTTAAATACATAATATTATAAATAACATTGGGAAAACTGAGTAGATTATTTCGAAAGGTATTAGCAGTTAATCTCCCTATAATGCGATGGTTTTCTCAGAACGTTGAATGTTTAAAATGATTAATTACTCGCCTCGCTGCTTTAGTGTACAAAGTTTTTGCAACTTTAAATGCACCATCTGTTGCTAATTTGTTACAATCAGGAACAACTAATCACTTGATGTTGTATATATACAAGTCAAGTGATTTATAAATGTTTACATAAAGTATATATAATATTATTAAACCTGTGTAGTTGAATGTTTATTTAAATTTATAATTATAATCTTTGATCATAAATGAATATTAATTAAATTCATTCAGAATTAACCATGAAATTTATTTAAATTGCTAAGATACAACTACATTATTTTCGATCAGTATTCCTTTGATATTTTAGCAATATTTCCCATTACTCGAATCATTCAACACTTTTTTAGGGTTCCGTAGTAAACAAGGAACCCTTACAGTTTCACCATGTCCGTCTTTCCGTTAGTCCGTCTGTCCGAGGTTTAGCTCAAAAACTTTTGGTTCCGGAAAGTTGGAATTTGGCATGACACGTTAATTACGCCGCCAAAGTTGTAAAGTAAAATTTCAAAAAATAAATTGTTTTTATTTCTATATGTAAAGTAGGGATATTTTTTCGGCTTCCCTATTGTATGGGTCATCGTTGGATAGGTCGTTCAAAAACATTGGGTATGTGGAAAGGCATCCGTTGATAATAATTCAAATATTATGGCAGTGGTGCCTATATTTACATAACTAAGTTTAAAGGAAAATTATCACAAGTTGACCTTACAAATTTTCGAATAATATTAGGCGACCGATTGTATTTTACTCGAAAATTCTGAACAACTCCATAGAAAACAACATTTTTTTAAATAAATAATCGTACGGAAACCTTCGCGCTCGAGTCCGACTGTTTTTTTAAATATATTGGGTAAATAGTGTTCCCCTCCGCCAACGTATGTATATTTCTAACTAATATTGGTCACACTTCACCAATTACAATGCTTGTGCGTGCAACCATTGATTTACAATTACATATTGTTTGTTATTTACTAGGAACGTCGAGCTACACAAATACGAGGAATCACTTTATGTATCTAAGAACAGACAATGACATTTTTTGCCGCGATATTGGATTTAAAGAGCTTAGATGGTTAATCAAGACTGCATTGTCGATGTATAATTTAATAAAAAAATACACATTATTATGTCAGTTTAGCCCATAAATATCACATATCACACGGATCAAAACGTTTCTATAAAACATCGCGTGATAAATGGGCGACCCCCACACTACGTCACAAAATGAACTGTTTTGACAAATGGCAGTTGCAAACGGAAACAGTTGCTTGGTCAAACGACTGTGTACGTAATAATAAACGATTATGTTATGTATAACGTGTTTTACGGATGCTATGTTAAAGCATCCTATTAATATTATAAATGTGAAAGTTTCTTTGTTTGGATGTTTGTCGGTCAATCACGCCGAAACTACTGAACGGATTTTGATGAAATTTGGTATACAGATAGGGTATTAGCTGACTTAGACCTTTAATCCCACTAAACATTTCCCTAGGGTCCACGCGGGCGAAGCCGCTGGCGAAAGCTTGTATTAACTTTGGGATAAATGCTAACATGAAGTCATTTTATGTTCATCCTTTGATTAATAACTTTAACTTTATTACTTTTTGTCAGGCTTTTGGCTAATTCAAAGGCTTTTCATATAATACATATACAACTGCGCATTTGTGATACATTTATTTGAAACGCAAAAGATTCTTATGAATGTTATACTGTTTTTCAAGTATCAATTACTGGAATTGTCATTAGATTATTTCGAAGAATTGATAAGACTATATTAATGTTGGTGCCGTTTCATCAAATTTGTTTTCATAGATCACACACAAAAAAACATTTATTTATCAATTTTTATACTGGTCAAGAATGCTGGAATTTATGCTAATAATATTGGTCTGTCTTTTGTATAATGTTGTTTATTCGACTATAAAGTTACTAATTAAATATAATTGATGGTAGAGTCGCGAGTTTATTCGTGAATTTTAATGAGTTTGAAATGGCTAGTGAATATTGATGACTTTAAATCCACGTGCCATAGCTTTTTTGATGATAAAAAGGGGGAATGAGTCAGGACCCACCACGTGGGTTCATTGCGGATTGGTTTACGTGCCTCCTAAAACACGGAGAATCTCGAGATAATATTTATTATTTTATATTACATATATGAAATAACATACTTAACATAATAATAGTTTCTGTAATTACACAATATTTAAATTAATCTTATCGAAGATACAGTTTGTTATAGTATTTACCTTAACCATTATCGCGTACATACGACATTTAGAATTATATGGATACGCTAGGTAGGTCGATGTAGGTACCTACAGAAACAATATTTTCTTTTCATTGATTCAACATAAAAACTTTTTACGGTACTGTGAACATAAGTCCGGAAAATCGCGAAATTGTTTATCTGGGCTCCGGCCAATCAAATAAATTTATAAGAACTTATTTGTTTATAAAGAAAAAATATATTATGACAAGAAGAGACGACTACCCTGGCCTAGAGGCTTTTGCTTGTTTCAGATTTCTATATTATTTCTATAGTGTAATGTATGTGATTTGTTGTTTAATTGATGGTGGAATAAAGAAACGCGTTTAAGTACTTTAAAACACAAGACACAATTTTATTATGGACAGTCTTTTAATAATTACCCTATTACCACTAAGTCACTAGAGAAATGTGTGTTTTACTTAAACAGAGCAAAGAGCATGCTACTAAGAAAATGGTGCGTTCATTCGAAACACTGGCCGAACGGAAAAAGGTGGTATGGACTGCGCAGGAGCAGGTATACACGTTCTCAGAAAGCCGTGAACGTTTTTGCTCCTTTTTCGATTCGAGCTTACCGAGAATCGGATGGGCCGTCGGGCCTACTCAGAACTCATAATTAATCCTTGGAAGCCTCCAACGCAAGGGTTGTTATGAGAAATCACCAGCATTATGACTAACTTTTTTTAATATGTTTTTTGCATTGTCTCGTCTCATTTTGTAAATCGAACGGGTTATTGTTCGGAGAAACCTATAGTGGATTTGCATTTTGAATAATGTACACGAGATCAACTCTGGATTAGTATATGAGTTTGTATAAAATACTAGCTTTTCCAGAGACTTCGCCTGCGTAAATTGTAGCCTATACATATCACTAAAGAAATTTCATGATCGGATCAGTATTTCTTAAGATTACCACCTACAAACAAAGTTATAAACAAAACCTCTTAATAATATGAGTATAAACGTATTAGATAGATGAAATTATATCCATTGATCAGACTTCAAATTAAATAGCTAAAGCCATTGTGATATGGAAATGTGAAACAACGAAGTATCACCATCCAGCAGACACGCAGTATAGAAAAGATAATTTAACACACAATATCTTTACTATATCAATAGGCTTATATAAGTTTTACATAGGCTTAGAATTTTAATCACCATGGACCCTGTCAGGCAACAGGAAGGACTTGAGCAATACAGTGGCTATTACACTGCATTACCCAATTTCACTTTTGAAAAAGAATTGTCTTGTAATGTTGAAGTAATAATTGCGTCTAAATAGCGTTTCAAATTATTATTCTACAATTCGTAGAAAAAAAAAACAACAAATTGTATTTCGTAAATTTTTTCAGTCGTGTTTCAATTATAAATGGCATCACTAATGCGATTTTGTCACATTATAAAGAAATTCTTTATTGTACAGAGACGAATTGCCTTTTAATGTTTAATTCTTTTTTTTTACAATTAAAAACAGTACGATCTCGTAAATTCGGGGAAAATTAATCTTTATAATATTTCTGGCGTTTATTAAATATATTTGAACGGGACAATGGGAGATGGTTTAGCTGATAATTTAAAGTAATTTGAGTTGTTTTTTACTCAAATCGTAAAGGATTCCAATACTGTTTAATGAAATCCCACTTAGACGTTACCTGACCCTCTTAAGAAAGCTCCCATTTCGCACTTAGACACTGTTATTATAAAGTACAAATACTTAGAATGGTTCTTGTGTTCAAGTAGTTATAACTTTATTGTGTAGATTGTTTTAAAAAAAATCTGTATATTCTTATAATTTTATGTTTAAATTTAATCCCAAAAGATAATTTTTATCTAAGCCGTCTAGAAGTGTCTAGCCGGTTTTTATGGCTTCTGATATCACCTTCCAACAGCACGCAATCATTTTGATTTCACTTTCGGTTTTGCTATTCTTTCTTTTGTTTTGACATTCTTTCCACATCTCCGAACCAACGGAGCATGTTTCTGGTGAATTTTAAAATATTTTTTGCTTTAAAAGAGAAAA